TACTAGTTTGGGACTCTTCATCAGCACGCACCCATCGTTGGGGTTCGAACTCAGGACCTTCTGGTTACAAGGCGAGGTTACAAGGTGCATGTTGCTGAAGAGTCCCAAACTAGGACGAAACAACTGTCCAGTACTCCCAGGTTTTCCAATGGTTCTCTAACTAATGTCAGCTCATGATGAAAATCCTGTAACCAATCAAATCCCTACAAACCAACACTTGAAAACACACTATACGTTTCATGCTAATCATGTCTATCTATATTTTTTTGTCAGAATTCATAAAAGGAACTAGTTAACCTAATACATTTAAGAAGTTAAGACACTCAGATAGGTATCATTCAACCACTACTCCTTTTCAGTTTGTTAACTATTGAATCGTACTTATTGTTATTTAGCCTCCCCCATCGTCCTTCCTGGTCTACTCAAAAAGGACTATGTTATGTTGCGAAGGGTATTTAAGATTGTTAGTAGGGTAAGTGGTGTGCCACTACTAATTCAGCTAGTTACTATTGTGGTCGACGGACACCTGAGAGAACTGGTCTGACTCTCAACACCCTGTTTATTCATAACTCTCCCCAGCTTGTGTCCCATCAGGTAGGAGGACTAGACGTCATTATAAAAGATTATATGCTCACATAACTAAGTACAGATACTTAACGATACTCTATTTGGCCCACACGCGTTCTATGTGATCGAGATAGTGTCAAGTGTGACACTTATAAGTCACTATGTATACTTATATCAATAATCAGCGAAATAAATGGCTCTGTGATCTTCTCTAATTTGTAATTTATTTCAACTATCTTACAATTTCACCTGTTAACATTAATATCATCATTTTACACCCTTTGTACATTTTTGACTTTATTGTCAACGCTAATACCATCACATATAGATTCTACTTGGATTATTAGTTTCAGATAATAAATAAAGCTTTCTACACTAGCATAAGAATAACTTAATTGGGTTTATTATTAGACGTAGTCTGGAATGCTTCACAAATAGTGTCTTGGTGTCGATCGACAGGTTATTTTTATATACCAGTCTCGAAGAAAACCATAATGAATCTAGACAGAGAAGAAATTCTCTTTACTAATTAACTAAAATATGACCCAAGGATGATGAAGGTATAAAGAGTAAGAAATTAGAAACAAGGTGAAAACGGTCAGTATTCAAATTTTCCTACTCACACTGATACTCAGTGAGTAAAAACTATGAAGTTAGTTAGATCATCCTCTAAGCGTTCCTTCTCGTGAGAAGAGATGAAGATTGCTCACTTAAAAATTTTAAAAAATTTATTTACCGGATTGATCACGAGTTAGAGAACCACTGGAAAAACAAAAAGTATTGGACAGCTGTTTCATCTTAGATGAGGGCTCTACATTTAAACGCACCCACCAGGGTTCGAACTCGGCACTACTGGGGTCCTCTAAGTCAGGCAAGAGTACAGTTGCTCGCTTGTGACATTAGCCGGGAGCTGCGCGATGCACATTACGAACCCGCGGAAGTTGGAATTGAACAACCATTGGATTGGGTCCCAATGACTGAATGGTCTACAAGTTTGACCCCTAGTTCGAAGGTCCTGGGTTCGACCCTTGGAAGTGGATGTGTACTGATGAAGAGTTCCCCAGTAGGATGAAACAGCTGTACAGTAAGTACTTCGTGGTTTTCAATGATTCTCCAACGGGTGTCAGCTGGTGATCAGCCATGTAACCAATCAAATCCTTTCAAACCAACACTTGATAAAAACATGAGCCAGCATGGGCACCAAAAAGTGCACAATGAAGCAGTGATCTACCTAGTTACTCACTATAGTCTTTATATAGAATTATATGAGTTACGCATAATGTGTACGAGCTTACAACTCAACCTAATCATCAGGACCGAAAAAAGTGAAGAATGGTATGAAGCAAATGAACGAGGAACCAAAAAATCATGCCTTCACTGAAGATAAAAAGGACTATTTTTCATATAAACACAGCAGAAGCAGTTACAAATGACTCAATTGTGATCACCGTTATACGCCTAGAAACAAGGTACCCATTGACGAAAATACCTTGGAATTACAGTCACTTCTATAGTCTACTGTTTTTAGGCATCCAGACAAAATAAATAAACCAACAAAATGAGTTACAGAGGAATATATATATGAAAGTACAGTAGTAAACAGATGGTGAGATGTTAGGTTCCCTCTGCAGAAACATACTGGAGATAAATGCATAACATATTTAGGATTCTGAAGTCACAGAATACGTACACGCTTTTACAAGAAACTTTCGGAACGAACCAATAAAGAACCTACCGCTTAATAAATATGACAAAGAAAATACAGATGTATCATACACACACGCTAAGGAGACCGTCAGGTGACTTCACATGCTCGAGTGGGACTCGAATGAGAAAAGACGAGTTCAGCATGTGTCCAGGGGTGACATGGAGGAGATCATGTGAAGAGATAAAAGCTTATGAGCAATTGTGGGGTCAGTTGAAAAGGACTGCATAAAATAGAACAAAACGGAGGTGTTCTGTTGCACCCAGAACCCAAGGGGATAATAAAAATTTACTCAGAAATATAGCAGAATCGGTAATAAAATTTATGGCAAAATCTGCGAGTGGTCGCTCATCATACATCTTCACCTTCTCAGCCAATGAAGATTCCTTTCGGAGATTAATTTACTTTATTTAATACTATGTTAATCTCAATGATATTATTCCACCTAATATGAGACAGTGAACGAATATACCCACGGCCAAAATCCTATAGTCTCCTCACGTTTTCTACACTCAAGGGCCATTTTTTACTGTTGCAAATAAAAACAAAACAAACTTTTGCATCTAATAAACTAAAGCCTATTCATCATTGTCTGCAGTGATACTGCATGATGAATAATTTTATATAGTGGTCAGAAGTGAGAGGAAGAAATTTATCATTTTCTTTCAAAACTTAATCTCACCATAATCAGAAATACAGAAACGGATAACACTACATCATTGTGTAACTGAATCTCTGTTTAGTACATCACATCGACTTTTTTACACAACAGGTTTATTGAGATGAATAAAAAGAAATGACTGTGAGGCATGGACATGGAAGACTACCTGCTTTTGATCATAGGTACCTGTGTTCTACCTCCCATGTTAGGTGATGTAATACATTGAGTAATACTGAGGTTAGGCCCAGCGTTAAGCAAGGAGGGAAAGTCAATCAATATGGTTGTGAAACTACATCGATTGAGATGACTACGACATGTGTTACCTATACCTAGCTATCGCCTTCCTCGACAAGCAATGTCAGGTGACATAGAATCAGGTTAAAAGAGAGCTAGCGGTAGTCAAACCGAAATTTTGAATCAGTCTGTATGCTCTTTGACAGTTAGTTTGAGCCAGTTAGCCACTTAGGGAGGTAAAGACTACCTGGATGGGGTCCTCAGGATGGTAAGAACCAATGGTTGGAAATAAATGGTGATTTGGCTGAAAACCCTGGTTCTCAATGGCTGACACAGATGCATTCACTCTTTGTGATTAATCATATCCAATAGAACTCTATTCTTTTTCCATTTCACTATTATTTCTCTCTCACATTTCTGCTTATTATCGTTCTCTTCATTCTCGCTGTTTCTCTCTTTTGTTCCCTTTTGTGTGCTGCATGGAGTGTAGCAACTCGAACTGCTGCACTTCTAAGCAACGTTCTATGCTGAAACTAGTCAGTCAGTTTCCATATTACTATTCTATATCTAGTTCGTCGGTGGATGAGTAGTCTCGAGATCAAGAAACTATCATTTAAAAGTGTTGTGTCTTAATCAATGGCTATTGAATCCATCACACACAAACAAAGATACAAACGTTCCAAACCACAATAGTAAGTTGTTGAAACTGTGGAGATTTGATTCACTTGAAGGCGAACTTCATGAGGAGCTAACATCAATTAAACAACCACACTGGAAACCATTAGGCATAGGATGGGTGTTTTGCCTAACTGTGACCAAACAATGGCACCTAGATAATGAGGGGAGCAGGTTACTATCCACCTGCTAGCTCATGAATCTTAACTTTCGTCAACACAGTATCATGCACAGCAACATGCAATTTTAATGTCGAGTACGCGTCTTCACAGTGGACTTGGTGGACTCTACGAATCACGACTTCTCATCAGAACTCTAGGTATTCCATCCTACAGTCAGTCAGTTACCGATAAGCAGTTGGTGAAGTGCCCGTTTCGCTGCATTAAAGTCTCGAGTTCAATCACAAGTGTGGTCTCGGGTCCATGTTGCTTGGGAGTACCGGACTAGAACGAAATAGGGGGCTAGTGACATATATTTATGAAGAAATCTACCTTTAAACGGTATACTCTTACAGAATGATACAGCCATGTAGGTGGGTCGAACCCTAGTAATGTATACCACAACTCAACTATTTTGTATTTCATTTCAATACTAATATAACAATAAATATTCACCATTTATTTATGCTAAGCATCGTATTTTAAAAGACCAGAATGACTCGAATACCAATCAACTGGCTGGATTTATACTAATATCAAACCGCTAAACTCACACTGTACAGGTCGAGTGGGTTTACTAAGGCCGAGAGTTTCAATTCAGATACGTTATACAATTAATCTATTGACAAACAGATAGCTGCACTAAGACCCAAAAGCACAGAATAAATTGCTTATTATTTGCATAATAAAAAGTTAGCAATAAAATTTTCATCTACTGAGTACTTCATCAAGACGGATCAACTTTAAACTTGACATATTTACGTGGATCAATTTAACCGTATAGTTGCTGTTTCAAAAGGTTTTAGAAATTAACTCAATTTGCAATTTCCTGAGCAGTATAGCAACTCACAAAAATAGGTAATACACTGGAGTGTCATTAAATCGATTGCATAAAATCCCTCTTAGTAAACCTCAATTGTATTTTTCAGGAAAAAATAAATAAAGCGGAATCCTAACAGCAACAACAACAACAAAAATACCATCATAAAACAGAAGCATCCAAGAAACGTGTACATCAAAAACTGATGTTTTGGCCTACATATACACACACACGCACGCACGCACAGACGAAATTTAGCAAAAGTAAAACAGTGCACAATTATCTTTTATATTACAAGTGAATTTACCAAGTTTATTGAAAGTATGTACAGAAAAGCGAACAACACAAAACCAAACAAACATAAGACCAAAATATAAATTGAACAACAGAATGAAAGGAACAGATAAACAAATTTCAAAATGATAATTATATATATATATGTATATTTTCTTAAAGTGAGAAATATTTCACAGGAATTGCATTTTATGCGCCAATAATGCTCTTACATAACACTGATATTATTACTTATATTATTATTATTGATTAATTATTCCACAAAAAGTGAGTAAAACTAAGACAGTTCAGCAAGTTGAATTTCCATGAAAACATGCAAAAATGTAAGTAAAATAAGTTGAACAGAGATTTATGCGCACTTTAAACATGGGTATTAGTAAGTAAGGTGCTTTGGTAACTTGCAGTTAGAATTAGACAGTGGTACAAATGGACAAAATGATTGAAAAATTAATGGCTGAATGCTCAAAACAATAATATACTCTGGACAGCAGTTCTTTTACTCACTACAGTGGGACCAAAGTAATTTGTTACTATATCCATGACAATGCGTCTTAAACAAATACACTTAAACATAAACGATTCGATCTATAAACTTGATTTTTGAATAAGGTGAAATCCCTAGCCTACATAATAATAGGACAGCTCCAACTTCCGTAAATAAATACGCAACCTGAGTGTCTGTGAATCACAGGAATTTAATGTATTTATTGTAAGAAAAATAACCCAAGATTTACGAACAGAAACTTGTAAAGTATATCACAATATAAGGTTAAAAAAATACGAAAATGAAGTTCAATATTGCTCCTTTTGTACAAAATTTGTATTGTTAAGAGTGAACTGTTTTGTCGTATACCAAAGAGAATGAATGTCCTTGTCTTTGAAATCCTGGATGCTGGGATAGCAATTCAGTCAAATTGGATAACTTGACAACTTCATTCCCACTTATATACACTATACGCAGACGAGGACAATTAAGTAAGTCTTCAATTGACTTGAAATCACACAATCGGTTGCGTTGAACGGAAAGACTAGATAGAGACGGAAGACGAGAAATCCCATGAAGACTCATCAATTGGTTATCGTCTAAATTTAACTCCAAAAGGCATATAAGATAGGCAAAAGTATCCGGGATTCGTAAGATTGAATTATTAGAAAAATCAATTCTGGTCATTAATGTATACCAATCAAGACTATGAAAACAACTCATATCCACATTGTGAAGGACAACTTCTCTTGACTGATTTTCATAGACATTAGCGAGAACATCTAGTGCAGCATAAAAAGATCGTAGGTGTTCATAATAACAAGAACGCTGTGGATCAACAGATACCAATTTATTCAACGATTCATTCACTTCTTCTTTAAAACCGTGTGGTCTAACAAATCGAAGTAGGCTGACAAGTGTTAGGAGAGCCCACTTGTTCTTTGGTTCCAAGGACACTAAGTCGCGGACAGTATCAAGTTCTCCTATCAAATCGTTTGGATCATGTATAGGCAGAATCATTGGATTTAATAGCCTCAATGGATCCAGAGCAACACGGGTCAGAGACTCACTTTGATGAGAATCCATACAGCACTGTAAAACAGAATAGTCACCGGTATAAGCACACTTGTTTTCACAAGATTCATGACACCCTTCATTTCTCTTCGGAATGCATACTTGCGCCACAACATTCCAGGGATGTGATTGGTACAGATGCTTATCACTTTCAGGGGCGTATCGACACACCAAGTCCTGACTAATCGGTAACCACCAAACAGCTGACAAATCGTCTAAAACTGAATTCCATCCACCAAGAAGCTCAGGTGTTAAAGTTACAGCATCTGAAATAGTACCGCCATAAGGAAACACTTTTATGGAAACTTGCAACTTCTTCAAGGCTCGAATTAATTTTGGGGAGCTAAATACGAGGACAAATCTCTCCATTTGTCGTGAAATATACAACTCCCTCAGGTAAACTTTCCTTTCCCCACGACCCAGTAACCACCAGTAATAAAACCAAGGACTCTGGTCAGCAGGATCCGTATATATTGCATTGTGTACAAGATCCAACTCCTCACTTGGTACTGAGAAGTCTAACAGCGGTCGACAACATCCTCTGTTAATTTCTATATCAGGCGGAGGACTCAAACGTGGTGAAACACAAGAAGTATTTGACGAACAAGTAAGAAGCTCACCCCGATAGTGCCACGCCGAATAATTACTCATGTTCCTTTCTATTGCAGCATCTGTAAACTCACGCTCTAATTCGATGGAAATACCTCCCTTAGAAACAACGAAACGACGATAGTCCCAGCAATGGAAATTTCTTTCATCCAACTTTAAAGCCGTGTTGCAAAACTTAACTTCAGATTCCCAATTAGGGGCTGTGTGATTATTCATAACCCAAGAGCGATGATGCCAGACGGCATAGGACTTCGGTGAATTGTAAAGACAACGAGTTGTTAAGTCTAACTCAGCTTCCATAATTTTTGACACCTTTTCTGCATCGTCAGAGTACTTTACCATGAGGTGCATCAAAATTTCGCGTCTATAATTCCACAATGTAGTTGTATCTGCAGATGTTTCCACCAGAGTAGCAATCTCCCTTAAATGTATCTCATTGTAATCACCATTTTCACGACAGGCCCAAAGCTTCTCACAACCTTCATGAAACTGTTTACTGATCTGCTGCATTTTTAGCAGTCTGGTGCGCTCCTGTTCAGCTGTTTGAATAACTTTAACTCTCCCATGCATGTTGTATGCAATAATATGTTATCAATAGATATTCAGACGTCCAGACAGAAAAATTCTGCAAGGTAGAGAATACAAAAACGATTGTGAGACAAAACCCCGTAAGCGCAATATGACTTATAAAAGAACCATAAAATGGCATCCAGTATACCACGATGAAGCATGCAAATCTTCGTCTGTTGAAAGATCACCGTTCTCAGTGTGACCAAATGAAGTAATACTATCAAGTATAGTAAATAAACATGGACAAAACAGAATTATGCTAACAATCAAAGTGCGAACGGCGAAGTTCAACAACAGCGTCCCAGAAGTGCGAATTCTTCAGTGAACTTGAAAGCGTGCTAGTCATTGGCTAACGGCACCTGTCATTATCATAGCTGAAATACCAGTGCTATTCACCAACTTACGAAATAAATTTTACCCAGGTAACGTCTTTAAGTACTGTTTGGATAATGTGTTAATATCTCGTTAAGGTTAAGATAAGGGTTAAGGTAAGTGTTTGGTTAGGGTTAGGATCAGGGTCATAATTAGGATTGCGGTTAGGCTTACGGTAAGGATTAGGGTTGTAATTAGGGTTAGGATTAAGGTTAGGGTTACGATTAGGGATAGATTTAGAGGTGATGTCATTCATCTTAATTTGTTTTATTATCCACTTTTCCCTGGTAAGTAGTTGTTGATCCTCTTACCGGAAACCGAAGGCTTTTGGGGAAGACTACACAACAAGATAAGAGAGATAAACGATTTACAAAACAGCTTATCTTCAGTCATCTCGGTGAATACGTGTACAGAAACTAGTCTAACTTGACAAGTGATACTTTTTATTATAGCTGGGACGTACTTTTAAGTCATGTCAGAGAAAGATGCCCTGTTTAATGTGTTTCCCTGCACTTTATTGTACATATACGCCATTTCTCATGCAAAAATTCCGCATTTTTATGATTGGTCGGCTCAAAAACATATCCCTTGGGATGCTGTTGCTGAACTTTGCCTGAACAGTGTGTGAGGAGTGTACAGAAGAACAGAATTATCTGTTATTGCAGCCCTACATTGCTGATCTAGACATTTTTGTCCAACCGAGGAAAAATAAATGCATATGAGAGTATTTGGACTTTCAGTTATGCAGTAATTCACACATGATGCCAATAATGTGATGTTAGAGTCCACAATTATTCGGTCATCATATGCATGCAGCGATCTCCCAGACAGTATCACGCAATATAGAAAAAAATAAAAGCTGCCAAAACACCATAAGTGATGAGCATTTTTGAACATTTACATACAAAAACGTACGCGATGCGTGAAAAGCAATTACTCGCAAACACAGACTGCGGTAGCGACAACTCGGAAAATTGCGGTATGAGACCAAGGTCAGAATCCAATAGCTTCAGCAAAAGTGGTGAAATATAAGTCTTTTTAAGTGTACATTAGCATAACCAAAATGGCTTTTTGTCTACAAAATAAAGTGGATTGTTTTTCATAAGTTAGGCAAATAAATATACTTGTCTCAACATTCTTTGTGTGCTATGCCCGAAAATTCCTGTCTCTGAAAAAGAAAGGAAGTTTCATAAATATTAAATATTCCTGGTATTGCATTCTTATCAAGCGCCCGCATTCAATATTGGAGTCTGTGTCTCAAGTGGTTCTCCTTTTAAATCCCACTGTTAGAAATATATCGACCTCAACATAGGCTTCTTGATTCACTTTCCTCTGCCTCCCAAATAACTACTGATAATGTTCGTGTGTTTCTTCTGTAGTACTTCCGACAATGGCTAATTTTGGTGAATTTGAGAAAAGGGGCCTAGAAAAAGATCAATCACGTATAACTTTTCCACCAAGCCACTGTGTTCCAGTCATACCATATATTAGTCCCCCAATGCGTGCTTAGCGTGACTCATAAAGTTTTGAACAGTATGATGGACACCAGTTTGCTTTCCGACATATACCTCATACATCACCTTGAACTAATGAACCCTACATGAATTACGTTGTTCAAATTGTGTTCCACAGTTCCACTGTGATATGCTCAATAAAATTTGCCTCCATTAGGTGATTGTCTTGCATTTTCATCTGTGGGTTATATGTATCTCACTGGTCCAATTCATCTTCGCCTAATACCGCTAATGACGGTTTTAGTGTCTGTGAATAGCACAGTTCTTAGTGTATAAAGCTGACCTCAACTCTTTCCTCAGTCGCAATGCCATCAACTGGCACTTGTCACAAAATACACTCAGAAATGAGTGTTGGTCATAGCATATAAGTATAACTGCCGATCCCACTAAGAACCCTCAAGCTTGTTATCCCCTAATGGGCCAGAATTTTTTCTACATGATCGATCTTATATGGGAAAAATAAAAAGTAAACAATCCTGATAGAATCGAGTGCCCACTTGACTGCCGATATTAGTGAATGACTCCTATGTTTTCACAGTCTCCTGGCACCGTTTGTCTAAAGTATTTAGAATACTATCCAGTATACCCTGTTGAGGTATTTATCATCTATATCTACCAACTTTATGGTAATTAACTATGTCTTTTGATCATTTTGTATATCACTATTCAGTTGTTCTTGGTTGTGCTCAGTTGGCGAAAACTAGTGAAATATAATGATGACATTTTACCTATAATGCATTTTCATTTGAACATATAAATTTACATGTAAGTCTGGCTATTTTTACAAGCAAGATCGAACGTGATATAATATGAAAACGTAAAATGTGGTTAAATAAGTATTATTTCAATAGTTAAAATAGTTCGCTTGAAAGATAATATGTCAGTAGGTGACCATATGAATCCAAAGTTGTGATGCCTTCGTCTGCACTGAATGGGAAACACAAAATTTCACTTTTATTCCCACTTGTAATTGTGTTCCACCAGTAACCGACCAATATTAAGGCAAATACCACTACCATGTGTGAGTGAATTAATAATAATCAGGTGTGTTATAAGTATAAAACTTGGGCACTGTGGTAGAGTATAACTCCGTAATGGATAAGATTTTATTTTAATAAATCACACAGTGTTGTACAGTTAAATTAACTGATGACGTTTCAAGCACAAACTATTGCTCATAATCGTATCAGTGATATGTATTTATCAAACAACTAGTTGTTTGAGACAATCAAAAGTGGACAAATACCCACCTCATGTTACCTCCAACTGTGTCTACCAATTTACATGTACGTGCCAAAGCACCTACATCGGAAGAACAGAGAGAAGAGTTATTGTCCGCATTTCTGAACACATACCAAAGAACCTGAGACTGAAAGGTCCACAAGTATTAAACAGTGCAATTGGGCGTCATCTATTAGACACTGGTCATAATGTAGACAACTTGAAGTCATTCAAAATAATGGGAAGAATTGCATGAAGTTTTTGAGAAAAACCAAATTGATTTCATCTCAATGCTGCCCAAGGAAGTAGAGACGCAGCTTACTGGACACATATGTAAGAAGAGGAGCAGACGTTGGATCAGACCATTATCTCGTACGAGGAACACTTCAAATCAAATTAATAGCTTTCAAAGTAACAGAAGTTCCAGATAGACCACAAGTCAAGTTCAATACTCAAAAGCCGAAGTATCAGGCCACAAAAGATATCTTCACTGCAATCATAAGGAGAAAGGCGGAGACACAAATCAACACTGGCGAAGAGGCCAGTGTTAAAAGCACTGTAACAGCCTGAAAGCGGTGTGGAGTCATACCCTCACAGAAGTTCAGGGCAGAAAGAAGAGACAGTGAAAACAGTGGCTCACTACGGACACATGGAGACTAATGAAGAGAGTAAGGATGGTGAAACAAAAGATTATCCAGTGCACCGACAAGCAACAAAAACAGGAGTTGAATGTGAGCTACTATACACTGAACAAAAGAGTAAAGAAAAGTGCCAGGGAAGACAAAATAAAATATTATGAAGCTGTGGCAAGTGAAGCAGAACAAACTGCAGGCAAAGGAGATCCCGCAACGCTCTACCAAACAACTATGTCCCTATCGGGGAAAAGTTCAACACAAATTAGGCCAATGAAGGATGACAATGGAAAGTCAATCACCAAAGAAGTGGAGCAAAGTAAACGCTGGGCTAAACATTTCAAAAGACCTTTAAATCGACCACCACCTTAAACGCACCCAAAAATACCAACAGCGGAAGTAGAACTACCAGTGGACATCAACCCTCCCGACGAGAACAGAAATCCTGAAGGCAATCAGGATGCTAAAAGCTGGAAAAGCAGCAGAACTAGACGGAATCCCAGCAGAAGCATTGAATATGGACCTAGAGACAACAGCAGACTTGATGACACCACTACTGGAGAAGGACAAGGAACCCGAGGATGGGGAGAAAGGATACTTATTCAAACTGCCGAAAAAGGAGACTTAATTCAACTGGCGCGGCATTATGCTCCTGTCCATCCCAAGCAAAATACTGAGCCGCATCATTTTGAAGCGAATCAAACAAGTCTTGGATGAAAAACTTCGACCGGAACAGGCTGGATTCAGGAGAAACAAGTCAGGCATCGATCAAATCGCAACACTACGGATCATCTTTGAACAGAGCTAGGAATGGCAGTCAGCTCTCTACCTCAACTTCATTGACTTTGAAAAGGCCTTCAGCAGATTGCGTCGATCGAGGGGTGATTTGGTGACAACATCGCTACTATCAAGGAGTACCGCCAGCAATTATACACCTCATCCAACAGTTGTATGACAATGCTGCATGCCAAGTAATCCACAACGGGAAACTCATGGAATCCTTCGAAGTGAAGACGGGAGTAAAACAGGGTGGCTGCCTACTATCCCCAATGATTTTCCTGAATTCGGTAGACTGGATAATGCGACAGACGGCGGGCAACGGGAAGAGAGGCATAAAATGGATCCACACATTAAAACTTGGAGACTCTGCACTTCGCCAATGATATATGCCTGATTTCCAACAAACTGGAAGATATGCAAATGAAAAGCAACAAGTTGGCAGAAGAAGCATCAAAGATAGGACTCCACTTCAGGTGAACGCAGAAAAACAGAGGTGATGATGGCAAACAGCATCAGCAACTACAACAGACAACGGTCAGCATAAATGTGAGAAATCTGAAAGCAGCAACCTACTTTACTTACCCACCTATCGGAAAAGCATCGTTTTAACTACAGGCGGAGCCGATGAGGATGTCAAGACGAGGACCGGCAATGCAAGACAAGTTTTCATTACTCACAAGTCTGTATGAAGATCAGCACAACTCAGCACGAGAAATAAGATCCGGATTTTCAACTTCAATGCGAAATCAGTGCTATTTTACAGGTCAGAGACTTAGTGAGTTACGAAGGCCGATCCAAACAAACCACAGACCTGCATAAACGGCTGTCTTGGCTCAACAATACTCAAGATCAGATGGCCAGCCAGAAAAGATCAGCAACAGTGAGGGATCTCTGGGAGCGAACGAACCAACTCCGTAGGAACCAACTGTGCAACAAATATGCAAGAAGGAGGTGGGTTGGCGATACTCTGAGAAAACAAACCATCAAGTGACATCACACACCAGGCCATCGCTCGAGTGAAACCCGAATGGGAAGCGGCGAGTTGTCGTCAGTAGGGTGGGGTGACATGGAGGAGGTCATGTGAAGAGCAGATGAAAGCTATTGGGCAGACGTGGAGCCAGGTGAAAACGTTAGCAGAGAACCATACTCGATGGGGACGCGCGGCTGAAGCCCTATTTTCCCCTAGGAATTAAAGGAAGCAATAAATAATAACAATCGGTACTCCTTGGTTTTCTAGTGATTCTTTAACTGACTTCAATCAGTGGTTGAGCTTTACTGAAGTTTCAGTAGCAGCAGTGTTGATTTTTCACAGGGATGGGGTTGCTAGCTCTCTGCCCAACCTTTCCTCCGAGCAAGGCGTTTGGGTAGTGTGGATTGAATCACATCAAAGTATTTGGTGTCAGATCTTTTATTGAGATCCAATGTGGCCTGGTTGGTATCCACAATACCTGTCTCACAGCCTGTATTACTGTAAATATCCCTAATAAAATCACTTATTGTACAAGACATTGAAGAGTTATTTATATTTGACCTACGCTTATTTAGCTTCTATCAGACCGGGGGAAGCCGTACAGCTATGCTGTTTAGTCTTACTAAATTTATATCGTTTGCTGTAGTTTTCAGCCGACAATGAAGGATGACGCTTCGATGGTTTAGTTGGCATTTTGCGTAAAGTTGATACAGAGCTGCCGGACTGCAAGTATCTTGGTCTTGAGTTATTTGGCGTTATGCCGAAAAACAATTGTAATGTGGCCAATAAAGTCACATACTCGATGGGGTAATACTTTAAACAGCAACTTGAGGCAGCAGAAATGGC